TATCCTTTGGCTATTTCCCTTCTGATTACTTAGTATATATGGCCTTGCCTAAAAGTTCCAGCCCAGCTCAGCTACACATGCTAACTACATAGTTAACAGGGACTTCCTTAAGGCCATACAACCGGGAAACCTGACAAGGTTTAAAGCCCTAATTTGAAAAAGATGCCTGTTATTCCTTAGAGATAGGACTATTCTGGAACCAAAGTCTAAAAGCATTATATGGAACATTAAATGATATAGTAGACGATGGTCTCACCATTTTATCATAAATGCAGGGGTGACTCATATGGCTATGTGTGACAGAGCCCTTCGGTACAAGCCAAGGACTTAACTTCATAGCCCAGTACAGCGAAGGCAAACCTAACACAGGCACTTTAGTTAGTCTGAGAGACATTCCAGGCACCTGATTAAACTGAGGTGATGCCAACTCTCCTCTGATAATAAAGCACCACCACTCTCTGAAGTCGTCATCTTTTGGGGTATCTGTCCTGCTCACCTGATCCCTGCCCTCTCAGACCCACACAGGATTTGGCCTCTGCAGCTGCAGCCCAACAGTGAGACCTCACCTCTGGCCGCAGAGGACTGGGTCCGGGAGAAAACCCATCCTCTGTCCCCGGGCACTGGGAAAGAATGCAAATCAGCCTCTGTGGGGCAGGGACAAGTGACCTAGATGCAGCAGTGGGGAGGGGGACAGCCAAGCTACACGGGGCCTAAAGCCAGAGAGGGACAGGGAGAAAGCCAGTCTGCAGAGAGAAGAGGCAGGCACACATGCAGGAAGGAGGAGAAATGGACGTGGAGAAAAAAGAGAAACACAACAACAGAACCGCCTCAGGACAGGCCTATTTCTGAGACTCATTTGCCCTCCAGTCCTCCAGCTCTGTAAGGCACACAAGATGCTTATTCTCCATGTTATTTAAGTATGGTTATAGTCCCTGTTCCTTGGACCCGAAACAATACTAGCTAAAATACACTGAAAGCAGGTTCTTTCTGCACAGCATTATTACTAATTCTTTAAAAAAATTTTTTTTAACATGTATTTATTTTTGAGAGACAGAGCAAGATGGAGCATGAGCCGGGAAGGGGCAAAGAGACAGGGGTGACACAGAATCTGATGCAGCCTCCAGGTTCTGACCTGTCAGCACAGAGCCTGATGCGGGGCTTGAACCCATGGACCATGAGATCAAGACCTGAGCCAAAGTCAGACGTCCAACCAACTGAACCACCCAGACGCCCCTCAGCATTATTACTAATTCTTAAGCCTGCCCCATATTCTGAGACTGCCACACTGTAGATCTTGCAATGACAACAGCAACACGTGCGTCCTCCTCTCTACTTCTCATCTGTCCTGCCCTGAGAGAAAGTGTTACCAGGGCTATCAAAATTGCCATAATCACAAATGCCAGATTAAGCAGGTGTTCCATCCCTAGGAGAACAGGACTTGCCTATCAAGTTCAAGTCAGACCGCTAAACGACAGGAGGCTCAGGGCTCCATTTGTGGGCTCTTTGCACCACCATGATGAGCTCTCATAGCTTTAAATTTGATTTACAGGGGTGCCTGGGTGACTCAGTCGATTAAGCATCCAACTCTAGACTGCGGCTCAGGTCATGACCTCACGATTTGGGAGATCAAGCCCCACATCGGGCTCTGCACTGTCAGCGCAGAACCTGCTAGGGGTTCTCTCTATCCCTCTCTCTCTGCCCCTCCCCCGTTCTCTCTCTCACTTAATTTAAAATAAATAAATAAGATATACATGCTATCAACTCCTAAATGTTTATCTCCACCCAGCCTTCTCCTCCAAACTCCAGACTTATGTATCTACCTGCCCAACCGACATCCCCACTGGAATGTTTAACATGTATCTAATTTATTATTATAAATTTTAATAGGCATATACTATACTCGAACTTAATTTATATTAGTATATATTATATATTATGAACTTAATTTATTATTATAAATTATAATAGGTATATTTTATACTTGAGCCTGTCCAAAACTGAGCTTGTGCTATGGCATTGAATATCTGCCTCTCTACATCTTCCTCATTCTTGATCCCTCTCTTTTTTGCACACTCCACAGCGAAGCTGTCAGCACATCCTGACTCCACCTTCACAATATATCTAGGACCCTCGGATAACATCTTTGTCTAAGCCTTCATCACTTTTTGCCTGGATTATTGCAACCACTTCCCAACCAGGCTTCCTGCTTTCACCCTTTCCCCTCTTCAGACACGGCTCAACACAGGTCTACATGACCTTGTGAAATACAAACTTGATCATGTCACTCCTGCACCAAACTCTTGCTCGGACTAAAAGCCAAAATCACTACGAATTGCCCCCACGACCGTCCGTGATCTGGGTTCTCATGACCTCTCTGGCCTCATCCCTCTCGTTCACTGCCCTTAGTCACAGTGGCTTTCTGGCTATACTTAGAACATGACAAGCAAGCTCCTGCTTTGGAAACTCTGCCCTTCCTCTTCCCTCTACCTAGAACATTCTTCACCCTCACCGTCCACAAGCTCATTCTCTCACTTCAGTCTTTTACTCAAATGTTTGCTCAGTAAAACATTCCCTGGCCACCCCACCAATCCCACCCCATCCTGACATTTTCTATCCCTTTCCCTGCTTCTATTTTTTCCCCCTCCTTGGCTTACCACATTAGAACGTTATACACATTGCATTTATTTATCTTGTTGGCTCTCAGTCCCATTAGAATGTAAACTCTGAGGGCAGGAGTTTTGGTCTGCTTTCGTCACTGTCCTATCTCTAACACCTAACAGTGCCCTGTATACAGTAGGCACATAACATGCAAATTACTTAAAAGGGTTTTCAGCAGAGGAATACTATGATCAGACTTAATACAATAATACAGTAAGTCTCACTGGGTTAACAATAAACTGAGGATGAACCAAAGCAGAAGCAGGGAGACCATGTAGATGCTATGGCAGTAATCAAGGGCCACAATTTATAGCCACAAAGGTCGTGCACTGCACAGCTCCAGTGAAATGTGGAAAGGTATTCTCTGGAGGTACGTAAAAGGGAAACCACGAAGGTGATTAGAAGTGGTCAGAGTCTGGCTACGTCTTGAAGAGCCCAATATGATTTAACAGGCAAATTTAATGGAGGATGTGCAAGAGTGAAAAATAAAAATATTCCCAAGGTTTTGGTGCAGATATTAAAAAAATAATATTACCACAACTGACAGATTAAAGAGCCATTCTATTCATAAGTGCTTAAGACATTTCAAATCAGGGTATACAAACTGGGCCTCACCTGGCCGCTCCAAATCATGTTTCTAGTCATCCTTTTCCATCTACTCATTACCATTTGCGATACCATCATTCGGCAAGCCCTGAACTCTCCAATTTCTGCATCTTGCTTATCCTATACCACGTGTGCCTTCTTCATATGACCAAGTCCTGATTCAAATAACACTCCACCAGGATGCCTTTCTGGTGCCCTAACTAAAAAATCAATCTCTCGCCTACATTTGCATTTCGTCGCTTCCTTCTGTGCCTCTGTAATAGCACTTAGAATAGCACTTACCTAAACGAGTAGGAATAGAGGTATTGAAGCATTCAAGCCCCTATCTAACTACTAATTCCCACCTGGACTGTGAGCGCCCCTCAGATAGGATCCACGTGTTCTATCATTCACTTCTGCGTCCAAAATACCTACGCTGGTGTCCGGTAGGAAACAGACACTATACAACTGTGTATGGAGAGAGTATGAGAGTTGCACTAACTCCAAAGGTCAGCTTCCTCGCCGGCCTGGGGTGTATATAAACCCGTGCAGGGCCAGGCTCCCAACGCTCAGGGAGAAAATAGGACAAATGCTGCATCGTAAAGGATCCCGGCAGCAGGAGGCCTGCAGGCGGCCCTCCGTAATTATATACGTGCCCCTGCAACTAACTCCTCGCAAGGTTAGCCGATGACTCCGCATCAGCTGACTCTAAGCCAATTTTGGCCGACTGGCTGGAAAAAAACGCGCGGAGCTCAACGACGCGGGCAGCACCGAACCCTCCCCGAAATGGCCTAGGGCGAACAGCCAGCCTCACGCCTTCTCCCGCTCGCTCCAGCACTTAAGCAAAGCGCGGGACGCCTGAGACGCGCAGGCGCAACCTCCCCTCGCTCGACACACCGCGGAGTCAGCGCAGCCAATGGCAGCGCCACACTTCTCACCCGCCGGCCGGAGGCTGCAGCCACGGGGGCTCGGCTCGAGCCACGCTCCCATTGGCTAAGACGGCTCCGCCCAGACAGAGTCCGGTCCACGCCAGCGGCTCAGCGTGTTCCGGGGCCCGCCACCACCTCAACATCCCCAAACTGCCCCCCATGGCGCCTCCACCGTGCTCCCTTCTCCTCCTCCAGTCCTGCTGCCTGTCAGGTCCTCCAGCAACCACAGTCTCAGCTCGTGCTCAAGGCAGCAGGACCGGCAGCCTAACCACTGTCCACCATCCTTGACTACGATATGACCTTGGGCAGTTTCCTTCCCTTTTGGGAGCCAAGGTGGTCTTCTGTAAAATTCAGCGGCGGGGAAGGATGAGTGCCAAGGGTTTCCCCTGGGAGCCTCGGAGTGGCATGTTCAACCCGGGCCTCTTCCTACTGAGCACATTATTCCAAATAATAAATGCCAGGCAGGCTCCCAGAGCGCGGACAGAAAGCCCGGTAGGGCGGCTGGGACTGAGACGGGTCTGGGCAGGGCAAGTCCACCCTCCCACCTAGACTCTGGCCGCAGCTGCAGGGCCAGACCCACAAGAACCTGTGGCGCCTTCCGCACCCGCATCCTGGCGACTCGGCTAAGGGGCCGCGCAAGGCCAAACCAAAGTGAGCAAGGGCGCAGGCGCATCCCGCCAGCGCTGCAGAGATGCGGACCCCTCCTCTTACCCGAAACCAAATGGGCGGAGGGGCTCGGGCGGCGAAGGGCCAAGCTGGAGCGTTCCCCAGAGACCTGCGCTTCGCGGGTACCCGCGCTCCTGGCTTGAACCGCCGAGTGGGGGCGCTGTCGCCGTCTCCTTCTTGAAGCCCCTCTACCTGCTCCTGCTACCACGGCTTCCTACGTGGGCTACCGGATACGGACAAGCCTAGACACTGGGTGCGCGCGTTAGGGCTGCGCGGGGCGGGGCGGATGGCGGGCGTAGCCGGGGCGGGGAGTGCTCCTGCGTTTCCTCCTTCGTCCTCCTTCGTCCTCCTTCGTCCTCTTTCGTCCTCCTTCGTCCTCTTTCGTCCTCCTTCAACCTCCCTAGTCTTCCCTTGTCCCGCCTGGCCGTCCTCCTGCGTTGCGTACCCCCTACCGAGCTCCCAGCCAGAGATGAACCCTCTGCCGGGCGCTGATCTCCACCGCCAGCCCCCTTCTGGAGCGGCTGGGGGGCTGGGGGGGGGGGGGGGGGCGGGGCTTGGGCTGACAGGAGAATGTGCCGCACTGGGAACTGAGGAAATCTGGTGAGGAATGAGGCTCCTTCCAGGTTCTGTGTATGTTTTCTGTCTTTAGAACTCATCCGGGTTGGTTGGATGATTTCTCAGTTTGCCTTTTGATCGGATGAAATGCATTTAAAGAATTACTCCTACGGATCTTTAAAAGTACTTTAAGAATAGCACAGCCCCCAGAGTTTCAACAATCGAACATCAGGGGCCAATTGGCCACAGATCAGGATGCCCTCGCCAAGTTTCCAGGATGAAAAACCGGCTGAGGAGAGAAGGAAGCGATCAGGACAAATCCGTGGCAGAACTATGTTTAGGTCAAATTACAGAGAAGCACGGATGGAAATGGATGAGGCAGATGAAAACTGGGGGAAGTACTGGCCTGGTGGGGCTTAAAAAAACAAAAAACAAAAACTTGTCAGCTCAGTTCCATGAGCTTCTTGAGAGTTGCTGTTTCTTCCCTCTTTATCCCCAGCTCCTGACACACACAATTTTGAAGATCCTACCTTTGGATCACAAAGGTAGGACGCACTTGATTCTCTACACCCAATTTTCGGACAAACTGAAGCAAGCATACTTTCTTCAGTATTGTGTTTCAGAATAGTCAGTCTGTACATCCTGCCACAGCCAAAACATAAATCGTTATATTGGGCCACTGGTTACACTTTGGGAGTTATGCCTTGCTAGATAAGCAGTTAACTAAAGGATGAATTAATATTTCCACCTGGGCCCTGGTTTTGGACTCAGAATTAAATGGAAATGTAGTTCTATTTATGGAAAACAGGGAAAGGATATTTGGCCAGAAGTTATATCGGACTGCACCTGTGGCTGACCTCACATCTTCCCAGGCTGTCTTTTTAATCCAGCTTTGCTATGGCAAACAGCTGCACCTGGTGTTTTCCTGCCTCAGATCTCTGTCACAGCAGCTAGGGACCCCTGCAGAAACCACTGCCCACTCTGACATATGCGTATACCTGCAAGTGCAAAAGAACTAACACCTCATGGGACAACCTTTGAGGCAGAAATGAGCCGGTAGAGAAATACTCCACTCTTCCATCCTCCGGGTGGGCAGTTCTGAGGTGCATTCTTGGTAACTCCTAAAATGATAGGGCCCTGGTGGCCCATGGTGGTGCCCAACTTGCAGTTCAGTACTGCACTCTTGGATTGCTTTTCTCTGTTCTTTCTTGATCGCCTGATTTTCCAGTCCTCCATTCCTGTTCCTTGGGATTTGTTCCCAAAATAAGCTACCTGTACCAAAATTCTTGCTCAGAGTCTATTTTACAGGAGAGCCCAGACTAAGCCAATCATGAACCCAAAAGAGGCATCTCTGCCCACCTTTCATGGCCTTTCTCAACAGACCTTTCCCAAGTCTGCTAACAAGGAATCAATTTGTTCGGCCTGAGCTTTTGCTCCTTTTATTTCCCAGTTGTCCTGTCCTCTAAGGCATCACTAGTAAGCTCTCAGAGACAGGCAGGAAGTATCAGGGATTCCTAAGAGGTAGGGCCAGTTGAAGGGCTGAGGCAAGTGAGAGTCTGACAAAGCCATTCTCAGACCACTTAAACCTTTCCCCTGTTTCCAAGGTCCTTGCTGTGGACTTTGAAACTGTTGAAACTCTCAGTTGAACATGGAGGCAGAGACCATGTGAGACCCAGTTCACTATCCACACAGCGTGTGCTGAGATTCTGTCTCTTTTCTGCCCTCCTCTTCCCCTTACTCCCTTGTAAAACCAGTTCCTCTACCCAGATACGAGGTCTCAGGCCAGGGTGTTTGGCACCTAGTACATCTCATCTCATTTCAACACCAACGGTGCTGTTGCAAATTGCGAAGCTAGCCTTGGGAGGGAAACAGCCCTTCGTCTCTGCCTTCAAGGAGGGAAATGAGACATGTACCTAAGCTAAATGAATCATTGGAAGTCCTGGAGATCTTCTAAAAGAGGGACATAGAAGTGTAGTGGGAGTACTGGTAGGGCTTCAGGGTGGGCTTTGTAGAAGAGCATCCTGAAAGACTCTCAGGTTGGAACGAAGGCCCCTAAGAGATCCCACTGCCCAGAAAGCCACAGTGTTTGCTCCTGCCCATATCAGTTCCTAATTGTCTCCTGGTTCACACCCTTCCTGAATCATGCTAATCATTCCCTCATTTTCCTAGACCCGAGCCCTCCCTTTATAGATCTGGCCCCGTCCCATCTCTGAATGCCCTTGGTCTTCTCTGCTCTCAGTGGTAAGTGTTAAATGCCAAATGGTGCAGGTTTAATCCTGCCCTTGGCCAGCCACCTTGAACTCCTCCGGAAGCCCACATGTGCAGCCCTCTATGCTGAATTCCGCTGGGGAAGAGAGAAGAATAACATCGTTTACTATTCCAAACCCTGAAGGTCTTCTATTTGTTTTTATACAATTGAACTTTCTTAAATAAAAAAAAATATTGGCAGAAGGGGGGGGCGGCTGGGCGGTGGTGGTGCTAGATATGCCCTTAATTCAGAATTTTAAAAGTATCAAGCAGCTTTTTTTCTATAATTGATAGTGAAACCAAGAAAAAGCCCAATGGATTATTCTAAAAGCTGTGGTGCTCAGAATCTAATGGGCTGCAAAGAGCCCTTGATCCTGACGTGACTATAATACTGATTTCTGCCCATGAATGAGAACTGGAGGTCCAGCCTTTTTCCCTGCCATGAATGAGCAAGTAAAACAAGAGCTTGGACCTTTCTGGAAAAAGAAGGGTGGTATCAGGCACCCATATCCGCACCTTCTTTCTGTCTCTTGACTCCTATGTATTTAATTAAATCTTTGGTTTTTTTGAACACAGTTTGGTGTGGGGAGTAGTTTGGTTGTTGTTGTTGTTTTTAAATTTTTTAAAAAATGTTTTCATTTTATTTTTGAGAGAGAGAGACAGAGCACAAGTGGGGGAGGGGCAGAAAGAGAGGGAGACACAGAATCGGAAGCAGGCTCCAGGCTCTGAGCTGTCAGCGCAGAGCCCGATGTGGGGCTCGAACCCACGAACCGTGAGATCATGACCTGAGCCGAAGTCAGTTGCTTAACTGAGCCACCCAGGCGCCCTGTTGTTGTTGTTTTTAATGTAGGCTCCACACGCAACATGGGGCCTGAACTCAGGACCCTGAGATCAAGAGTCACATGCTGTGCCAACTGATCCAGCCAGGTTCTCCAGTAGTTTGGAAATTTAAGCAAAGTTTCTTTCAGGTAATTGGGATCTTAAAAGACGGAAAGTATGAGAAGATAAAAAACAGTGTCCCCACCTCTGCCCATTCACCTCACGCTATAAAACTCCTTCCTTCCTTCTTTCAGTTTACATCTAGCCCTTATATCTCAGGCATTGTGCTTTGTTCTGGGAATGCAACGATAACCAAATGCTGGGTCCCTGCCTTCAGCAACACAATTTAGCAGCTAATCACTATGTACCAGATACTACGTCAAGTGCTTTGTGTGTTATTTCACTTAATCTCTGCAACAATCTTAAAAGTGACCTAAGATTATCCCCATTTCTCATCTACGGGAGTTGAGGCCTAGAGAGGTCAAATAATTGGTCCCAGCAGCACAACTAGCAAGAGGCAGAGTCAGGTCCCACACAAGTCTGCCCTGTTCCAAAGACTTTCTTTAAGCATACCACCAATTGTTCTAACATTCTTGCTTCATAAAAGAAAGAAGAAAGAAAGAAAGAGAAAAAAGGAAAAAAAGGATGAGGGGTGCCCTGGTGGTTCAGTCGGTTAAGTGTCCAACTCTTGATTTCCACTTAGGTCATAATTTCACAGTTTGTGGGATCAAGACCCTCATCGGGCTTGGTTTACATGGAAATTTCTGTCAACAAATACAATACAGATGCCAAGATCTGATGCCCTCAACTAGGAAAAGTAATTATAGGTTCTTTTTTTTTAAAAAAATTTTAATGTTTATTTATTATTTTTGAGAGAGAGACAGAGTGTGAGCAGGGAGGGGCAGAGAGAGAGAGGGAGACACAGAATCTGAAGCAGGCTCCAGGTTCTGAGCTGTCAGCACAAAGCCCAATGCAGGGCTCGAACTCACCAACTGTGAGATCATGACCTGAGCCGAAGTCAGACACTTAACCAACTGAGTCACCCAGGTGCCCCTGAAAAGTAATTATAGGTTCTAATTGACTATATGAACTTTGAAATACAAGAGTATGGGACAAGATTCTAAACCCTTAAATCTGATTTTCTGACCTTCAAATTCTATTTTTTTTAAAGAATATTTGTTACAGTAAACTCTTAAAAATCAGGATACAAAACCATATGCTCCTTTTTATTGATATCTTTTCAACTTTTTTCCAATGAATGTGTATTTTTTTATATATATTTTTTCTGCCTCTTGCTACCAAAGACAGAGCCTACTATTTCAAAAGGAAAATCAAATTGCCAAGTTGCTGCCTCTCTGTTTTGGGTTGCCAGCACCTCTTTCCCAAGGCGTATCAGCTCCTCTGCAACTCGCTCCCCTCAACCAGTCTCTTCCCAAGACCTGAAGTTTTTACCCCCCTAGATAGTTCTCACATTCAGTGTTCACTCACCTTAGCCGGTGGTGGGGTAACAATGCCCCCTCAGCACTGTCCACATGCAGGGTACTCTCCAGGTAAGTTACAAGGCAGATACACCTGGAATCCTCTTAATGCTCAGTTAATAGGGTATAATACACACCCCTGGAAACGTCTCCCAAAATGTATGTGTATTATTTCAATGCCTGCCTTTAGCTGGGAAGGGAAATTCTCACACCCGTATGATAAAGCCAGCTAATGACAAAATACAGTATTTAGAGTTCTGGATGTTTGTGTGTTTGTCATTAAATAGGCAAAGTTCAGCTTTGTAAATGTTTGTTTTAGGCTTAAAATGTCTGTGAGTTTGGCCCTCTGACAAGCAGAGGATCAGGAGTAAATGCCATTGCTTAGGGACACATGAGAAAAAAAATAATGCGAAAGGGCAACTCCAATGCCTCCATCTTGAGCTCTCGCTGCCAGGTATATGTGGACGTAAATGAACACAGGAACTGGCTTGAACAGAAAGAAAGATGCGGAGAATGTCCTGAGCATGACCCCAGATCAGGACTTGAGAAAGATTTCAAGATGGCCAAGTAGCTTTGGGCAGGTTAGCTACAAGAAGATGGGGCTAAAACATACCCCTTGGACATCACAATGGGGGTAAGGAAGAGTATGTCTGCAATATAGGAGATCCCTTAAGGGTGTTTCTTAGTACTACCATACCCTGTGATTAAAGTCAGTGGAAAATTACAACAATCAAATTCAGGCAGGACTGCTAATGACCTTGATCCTTCATGAATGAAGGTTTGGGGCACCCTACTGGGTAAAGAAGGACAACCAGCCAAGGACAAAGGGAATATGGACTGGGCAGTGGGAAAAGGTAATTACAAATACCAGCTACAACTGTGTGACCAGTTTCAGAAAACAAGGACTGTGATTGTCATGAGTATTTCTTCCTTATTTTGTTATGTGTGTGTGTTTCATATTTTTGTTTTCTTTCCTCTATTACTCCCTTAAGTAATGTAAGACGTTTTGACTTTATATCGTATATATCATACATAGTATTATTTTTTTTTAAGTTGTATTTTTATTTATTTCCAGAGAGACAAAGAGAGCGGGAGCAGGGGAGGGGCAGAGGGAAAGGGAGACAGAGAATTCCCAAGCAGGTTTTGCACACGGCTCAGCGTGCAGAGCCCAAGGCAGGGCTCGAACCCACAAAACCGTGAGATCATAACCTGAGTCAGAATCAAGAGTTGGTCGCTTAACCAACTGAAGCCACCCAGCCACCCCGGTATTGTTAACTTTACATCATAGTATTTAAGTTATGGGGTATCAAGGAGAAGAGTAAATATCACCCAAGGACTTTGCATCCTCTTCCAGGGAAAAAGTTCATGCATTTTCAGTTGTATACAGGATGGTCATATCATGTTAGGCAGTATTATGACCTTATTATTGTCTTTATTTGGAGGTTAAGTATGGTTTAAGCAGATGTATACGGGTGCCAAGTTGACAAGGAATGGGTGTTGATGTTTAATTTCATATGTCAACCTGGCTAGGCCATAGTGCCCACGTATTTGGTCAAACATTATTCTGAATGTTTTTGTGAAGGTGATTTGGATGAAATTACTATTTAAATCAGTGGACTTTGAGTAAAGCACACTACCCTTCATAATGCGGATGGGACTCGTCCAACTAATTGAAGGCCTTACTAGAAAAAGACTGACCCCCTCAGGAGAGAGAATTCTGCCCGGAGACCACCTTTGGACCCTTCTCTGCAGCTCTTCCCTGGGAAGAGCCTATGCTGCTGGACTATGCTGCTGATTTTGAACTTGCCAAGCCTCTATAAACATGTGAGCCAATTCCTTAAAATCTCTCTCTCTCTTTCTCTCCCCTTCTCTCTCTCGCGGGCCCCGGGCGGTTGCGGTTCCGACCCCTCCTTTCATATACATCCTGTTCCTTCTGTTCCTCAGGAGAAACCTAACCCTAATACACCCACTCAGAGTGGTCTCTTCCCTAATTGGACCCTGATACAACATTGAAATAGATCCCTCTACTCTGGAATTGGTCTCTGTCTGGGAGGGCAGGACCCCAAAGGAGCAGGAAGGGCCATTACTTAGGGGCCTAGAGCACAGGTCAGAGCAAGAGGGTGCTCACAGGACAAGCTGGGACGTGGCAAGCCTTGCTTTTCACCCTCTCCATCCCCTGAGGCCCCTTCAGCCCCTGCCCTCCAGGTGCTCACAGCCCAAGAAGGACGCATGCACAACTGCAGCTTACCCATTCCAGGGCAGCTTGGGCTCCGTGATATAACAGGCAAAACCCTGGGCTCTGGGACCATGGTAGAGAGAGCTGTTCCTAAAGATCAGGGCCGAGAAGCAGGCTTCCTAAAGGAGGTGACCGCCTTGGATCGCAGATTCAAAGGCAGGAGATTTTTCCTCCAAATTTTTATCTTGAAAAAGTTTTAAATTACAGAAAAGATGAAGAGTTATAATGAACACCCATACGGCTATAATCTAGAGTCACAACTGGTAACAGCTGGTCACATTGGCCCTCCTATGTACACATGCAGTTACATTTATAACTTTGCTGAGTCATTGGAGAGTATGTTGCAGACATCATCACAGACCACTCCCAAATATTTCAGAATCTTTTACAAAAGAAGAAGGAAATAAGGCAATTCTTCTACATAATCATGGCACTATTGTCACATTCAAGAAATTTAACATCTGGGGCGCCTGGGTGGCTTCGTCGGTTAAGTGGCTGACTTCAACTCAGGCCGTGATCTCATGGTTTGTGAGTTCAAGTCCCACGTCAGGCTCTCTGCTGTCAGCACAGAGCCCACTTCGGATCCTCTGTCTCCCTCTCTCTCTGCCCCTCCCCTGCTTACACTGTCTCTTTCAAAATAAATAAACTTAAAAAAAAAAAAAAGAAATTTAACATCAATGATAATAGTATGATACTGTTAATCCAGACTCAGATTATTTCAGTTGTCCCAGTTATGTCCTTCTGTAGTTTTAGGTTTTTGTTTTTTTTTTTTTTTCTCTCAGTTAAGATTCCAACTGAGGAAAATGATTTCTATTTAGTTATCATGTCTCTTTAGTTTCTCTTAATCTGGAACAGGACCCTGCCTTTTCTTCTGAGGGGACAGGGTCTTTCATGATATTGACAGTTTGATGAGTCCAGACTAGTTGTTTTGTAAAATGTCCCCAAATCTAAATTTGTCTGATCATTTCCTCATGATTGGATCCAGGCTAAACACTTTCAGTAGGAATACTAAATAGGTGATGTTTAGGTAGAATTTGGACAG